TACATATATAAAGTACATATCTTACTATATGGCTGCTCTTAATGGTGAAAAAACTAAAGGTACAAGAAGAGCTTTTTATGTCAAGCTAAAGAACAAGTGGTCTGAAATCTGTGAGAAAGTTAATAAAGTGAAAAATTTATGTAAATTGGGCTGGCAAAGAGATGATCTGAAGATTGGCTCTGATCTTCGCACTATTGCAGAGGAAGCTAAGAACTGCAACTACTGATATGGTGTTTTCAAGGAATAATTATAGCATAGTTTGTAAGCTTGCCTTACAAGATTTTAAGTTCCATTAACCTGGCGACTGCCATGAGGCAAGGTTTTTAGCAGATGTGATCTACATCCTGACTCTTTATATGACTAAAGATATCAATAATATCTTGACAGAAAAAGAAGTACTGCAGTTGAAGGATGCAAGTTTTTTCATTGCAATTTGCTGTTTCATGGTTTTTGAAAAGTTTTTTTTAGAATTTCTGGCTCCCTACAATAGTTTCAAAGCTATCCAGATAGCCTATGCATTGAGAAAAGTCAATAAGAATATTGGAAATGCTATGCTTCTCAGCATAGGACGCCATACGTGGTACTTAACTCCGCAACTCTGTGTCCTATGTTTGTGGAAACATTTTTTTTATATGGGGAGGGGGGAGGAAAGGGGGTGTATAAACCAAATTACATTTCTAGTTTTTTTTCCCTTTTTTGTATTAATTTTTTGGGGTTAAATTTTAATTCAAAATTTTGGAAAACTACTTTTTTTATAAGAATTTTCAAAAATTCGTTTAGAGGAATTGAGTATGTTTTTATTAGAGGAGCTTTGGTTTAGCTGGTTAATTAAAATTTAGATTTGTTTGAGAATTTAGGGTGATTGGTTTTAATTAATATTAATATACAGTATACTGCATATATTTTAGGTAAAACAATTAAATTTGCTAAGAGCCACACAGTTGTTCCGGAAGAGACAATCTAGATAATAAAACATTGCAAAAAAACTTTACTTTATTTTAATAAGGAAACATAAAAAATAAGGAAAAAGAAAAACATACATGAATGCCGTGGTGTAAACAACCCAGCAAACCTTTGTTCTAAAAAAAGGCGTTTTCAATACGCGTAAAAGAAGTCTTTTTTAGGTCAAATGTTAGCTGGGAATGGGCAGTTATCATGGAGCAGATGTTTGTAAATTTGTTGGATACTATATTTTAGATTTATTAAGTAAAATAATCCGTATTAATGATTAAAGTCTTTATTATGATGATGGTTTTATAGTAATGCCTGGGTTATGGAGTTTGAGTTGCAACATTTTTTAGAGTCAGAACCGATAAACAAAATTGTGACTCTGACTCCAATAGTAAAACTTCTCTGTATTGCGTGTGCTTGTACAAAATATTTAACCTTTAAAGAATTTTTCATATATTTTTCAAAAAATATTTTTTTAAATTATCGCTTAATATTTTTAGAAAAAAATCGCAACCCTGTGGCAATGCATAAAAAATCTGTTTCACAGCTTGATAAAATTAAAATAGATACTATACAAATTTTTAATATTGGCTTGAATGTGAATTTTCTGTCACACCTAACCTCTCATATTATTGTCACATCTAACATCTCAAATTTTATTAAAAAACCAAACGATGAATTATTGTGCATTAATATTAACTCAAACAATGAGTTATTGTATATTAATACTAACTAATATTACCCAAAATTTGACCCTGAAAAAAAAAATACCAAAAAGGGAAAAAGGACTAGAAATGTAATTTGGTTTAACCCCCATATAGCAAAAATGTTTCCACTAACATAGGAAAAGTGTTTTTAAAATTTGTTGATAAGCATTTCCTGCCCTATAATAAATTACATAAAATTTTTAATCGAAAAACAAATAAAGTTAGATATAGTTGCACAAAAAATTTTTAAAGAATTATAAAAGTTCACAATAATGATTTGTTAATCATAAGGGAAATCCTAAATGAAAAAAAGACAGAAAACTCTAATTTAAAACAAAAAAACAATTGTCCAAAAGTGGAAATTGTTTATCAAAAAACATGGTATATAAATGTGTTGCTTCCTCTAAGAATGTATCTGATAAGCAATATATTAGCTCAAGAGAGAGTGAATGGAAAAAATGTTTTGCCAATCGTAAGCGATCCAGTAAAAATAAAAAGTATTCAAAAGACACCATGCTGTCAAAATACATATGGAATTAAATGATAAAAGTATTGATGATTTTATACTAAATTATAAATGTATTGAGGCTTTTATACTTAATCCTTAAATTTTTAAAATTAAGGTAATTTTAAAAATTTACTTACCAAGAACCTAAAGCTATTTTTCTTTGTAGCCTATTGAGCTTTGTAGTCAAAAATAGTTGATCGAATCATACACATAATTGATTTCTCTATTTTTCAGAATCTTTGTACCAAAGTTTCAAATTTAAGTGTCAAAGAATCAAAAATCAATCAACAATAAAAGTCTATTATTTTTTGAATCTATTGACACTTAACCACAGCTACATACAATGAAAATCATAATAGAGCTATCTAAATAAAATAATTTATTAAAGTAAATAAGCATTTATAAGTGGAAATTGTTTATCAAAAAACGTGGTATAAATTGTGCTATGTAACTCCATCCAAAAGCATACAACCTTAATATTAAAACTGTGTTTGGCAACAGTACATACTAACACATATGTGTAAGTACCTTTTTATACAGTTAGTAATACATCATAAAAATATGTTAAGAATGGACATATCTTATATATATAATACTGTATCTTATATATTTTCTCTATTTATGGTGATTTTGGTTGTTACTTCAACTTTATTTTATATAAAATATATTTCTGCTCTTACAACTATGCCCTAAATATTAATGTTTATTTTTCTTTTTAATTATATGTTACGATTATAAAAAGAAAAAAAAAACACACTTTTATATCAGGGTATAGTGATATATGACCTTTTCCATGATATAATTAAGTGTGCCTAATTTCTTCAAATGCATATGAGCATGAAGAGTATTTGTTTTTTATAGAAAAAAGTTGTAGCAACAACCAAAAAATCACCATATATAAAAGAAACATCGTTGTTAAATTTGAAAAAATAAAATCAAATCCCTACGGTTAGAAGTCGAGTAAATTGATTTCGAAAAAATAAACAAATTACTGACTCATACTAAAATAACATTCAAGAAAACTGAAGGTTTATCACGCCAAGATCATTTTCAGCTTGTTTAACTTTTTTAATATTGAAACTAAGTTATCAATTTACTTTAATTATAAAATAAAAATAGAAAGTTTTTATTAACAAACCAACAACAAAAAGATTGTCATATAAACGTTCGATGTAGTCAAGACCGCAGCCATTTTAAAAGTTCTAAACTTTTTAAAATTAATTGACGCATGCGTACCTAAAGAAATTTGCGCTTTCGAAATTTGCGAAATATGACGAGGATGATCTATTTAGATCATTTCCTATTGTTGTTTCGATATTAGGAAAATGCGCAAAGCGCATTTTCCTAATATCGAAACAACAATAGGAAATGATCTAAATAGATCATCCTCGTCATATTTTAAAAATACGGAAAATTGTTTGGATAAAATATCCGGAAAAAATCTGGAATTTGTTTTCCTTATTTTCTTTTTAATTTCGCTTTTAGCTAAGTTGTTTTTACTTTTTTTTACACTTTTCATGATTTTTTGATGATCGATGAGTGAAAAAGCTTAAAAAACAAATATATTACAAAAATATATACCTCAACTTGCATGTATTGAAAATGTTTTAAATATCCGGAAGAACTAATAATTGAAAAAAATATCCGGAATAGACCTTTTGCCAGATAACGACGTCATTATAACTACGCATTGCATTTTGGGATTGCCTGGGAGCAAACAAAAGTTAAATTCGTAAATATCCTGTTGTTTCTAATTAGTTTTTTAAAAGTTGACCATTATTATCTATTTGGTTTATAACTATTATTATTTTTATTTGCAACACTCTTTTGTAATGGGTAAGAGCGATCATTGTGCAATTTTTGGTTGTAACAACGATCGTCGATACAAAGAAAAGTATGTTTTGAAAGATCATATTTATAAGACTTTTAGTTTCAGCGAATTAAAATTTTTTACTTGTAAAGAGAAATATTTTTCCACATGGAGTAAAATTATTAACAGAGAAATAGTCGATCCTTTAACAAAAAAATGAAAGCTATATGCTGTAAATAAGAATACAAAAGTATGTGCAAATCATTTTGAGTATGGGAAGCCAACTGAGCTATCCCCTCATCCAAAGTTATATTTGAAAGGATACGAAATATCTCCTCCTCAAAATAAAAGAAAATCACCAATTCCTCGATATACACCTACTAAAGTTTCTAAAAAACATATCTATCAGGACTTGCACCCAGAAATGGATACTCAGAACATATTGTCAAGCCTGCTATGTCACAACTAAAATTTTTATGTAAATTTTTGTTTTTTCTAACATAAGAATTGACAGCAAATTGTTCATTGCTTCGTCCCCATGATAGCGCACTACTGGAAATAGTTTCGATTTGTTCACAAATCTTTGCACATAAATTAAAAGTGGATGTTGGGTTTGTAATTGTTTGCCTATCACTAACTTTCTGAATTACCTCATGGGATACTGATGATGTAATAACACCATTTCTATATTTAAACCAATTAATAGAATATGACTGGTCTGTTGTTATACTGCAAATTTTTTTTATATTAGAATTTGTTCGATAGGTTTTTAATTTATACTGAAACAAATTCATATCGGTTATACAAACTATTTCATCAATTGTTTTAGGATATTCTGTAGCATTTGTAAAGTCAATATCTAACTTATAAAAACTTATTTTTTTAAACTGCAAAACACTTGCATTACCGTTGGTAGCTTTAGCAATATTCTCCCAGTCTTCAGTTGAATATGGGACATTAATGTATATAACATATAAGTTTCTACTTGGACCAGGTTCAACATCATCATTTTCAGAATGTGGTCGCCTAAAAATAACTGAATTTATTTCACATGGTTCATGTATTTTTTGGCGCTTTTCAACTCGTACATCCCATTGTTGTTTTTTGCCAGTACATGTTTTATTATGGCCTAAGCTGACTTCATTCTCAATATAATGCAATAAACTAAAGACATGCTTACAAGATGAACTCAAACCTGCAATACACGAACACTCAGCAGTAAAAACATACTTGAACCATAAAAACATACCCAAACTAAATATGGATTTTCGTTTATTCTTGTCTGAGGAACAACAGTAGCTCTAACGTAACAATACCGAATACTGTCAACAATGTTATTAAAGGCGACATCTTTAACATGCCCAGAATATTGCAAGTTTTTTCCTTCTCTAAATGCCTTCATTGCACTCTTATTTGTAGCATATTCTTTAATGACTTCTAAAGTCGCATTAGGAAGATATTGACTTCCACTTTGCCAGTTACTTTTTAAATCTTCAGGAAATGGAAGATGTAAAACATCGTCAACTACTAACTTCCTTCTTCGACTGTTATTTATTTCATTAATACGGTTATCAGTGGTAGGTAACAATGGTAGGTTTAAAGCTTCTGCCATGATAACTTTTTCTATCAAAAGTGCTTTTCGTGCACTTCCTGAACCTCTTGATAATAAATACGTTTTTAACTCATCTATTTTCCACTTTGACAAATCTACTGAAGTAAAAACCATATTAAAACTAGGGTTGTTAACCGGAGGATTTCGTGCAATTCCGGAAAAACAACATTCTTTCGTAAGGAGATTGAGAACACGGAATTACATTTTTTCGTACCGAATGTTACAAAACATTTAAAATCGCCGATGTTCATTTCGCAAAAGCCAATTCCGAAATTTAGCATTTTGCAAGTTGACATACGAAACAAAACTGTTTTGCAACATACGAAAGTAGCGGTTTCGGAAGTCGCACTTGCGAAACAAACATTTTCGCCAAACGACGTTTTGAAGTCTATAAAGAAAATTTGTTTGCCAGACTGATTTTAATTGTAAAAATTAACATCTTTAAATCCCAAAATGTTTATAATGAATTTTTATTTTCAGTATAATAACTATTAAATTTTTATGGTTTTATTTTTAGAAATATTGATAAAAAATAAAATTTTTTTCGAAACGAAAGTATTTCGGATCACAACATACGAAAGAATTCTTAACGGAAATAAACTTACGAAACGTGCCATAATAAATATATATAACGATGTTTTTTGAACTCATTACGTATATTAAAAATAAGAATGATAGGTAGGAATATACATGTTTTGTTTTTTTAAAGCATATGAAATTTTTGAAACAGGTTCGAATATGCTTAAGCAAATAGTAAAAAGAGACTCAAAAATATGCTTTAGCTTAAGCATATTTCTGATAAAATATACCTATTTCAATAATTTCTAAAAGTGTAAAGTTCTAGCAGATTTTAAAGGTATGTAGAGTCCTGTTTGAATACGCTTTTCGAAGTATAGATCTTAGAAAATATTGTTTTTTAATTTTAATAAGATATAAATTGAAGTATAAGATCGTATAGTTTAATCAGTTAGATACGTGATAATTCGCCGCAGAGATCCAGGTTCGCATCCCGCAGCCATTGTAACTTTTGTTCGTCAAACTCTTTTTACTTAAGATAGCATTTTTTGACCTCCATGTTTTATATTACAGATCTTTCGTCACCTTCATAATAGTGACAACCTCTCTTCTGTTAGTTATTCTTTTAAGATTGAGTTCATTGTGCTTAATTCTACACGTTTTCCTTGCTTTACTAAGTTCTACTTAAATTATGATGAAATGTACGTAAAACAACTTTTTCAAATAATATAAATCATTTTGCTTTAAATCTTGTGCTTTTTGTACTAGATATCTGTCCTAAACACTTTGTAATAATTTCTAGCTAACTCTGAGTCTAATATAATCATTTCTGAATATAATTTCCCTGAGGCTCCTACAGCCTATTGTGCTCCATTAAAAGTAACTAGTTTTTGAGTCCAGATATTAATTATAAGCAACTAAAGGTTCACATTACTATTCATTTACCTGATATATAGAATCCTATTTGCATACGTATCTCTTTCTGTAAATTCTGTTTTATATAGTTTCTTAATTATATAATAAATAAATATTACTATTCATTTAGTTGAATGAACGTATAGCTCATTCAGTTAAGACATTTGGCCGCGTAGACCCAGGTTCACATCTTGCTGTTTCACATATATTTCTTCTCTTTTTACTCTTTCTGATATCATTTACCTTTAGAGAGATCTCTCGTTCTTTATAATAAAGTATTTAATTGTTTATCACACATCTTCTATATACTTTTTAAAAAGAAAATGAATACTGTTTATCTGTTCATTGAGAGTCCAACTTAACGGGATTTTACTGTATATATATATTGCGAATCATTTTTGTTATAATAAAATGTGTTTTGTATGTATAAACTCTTGAAATATTTAACTTGAATTTGCATGTGTGCAATTTTGCAAGATTTCTAAGTGTGTTTTTTTGTCAAATGTAATGTCTGTGTTCTATAAAGCATGGTCAATACAAAGTTTATATACAGTAGCACCAAACTATTGGTAACGTACTTAAAGTATGCAAAGTATAACTTTTCAGCTGAGGCAGAGGTTGTTCTATGCTTGTTACTGCATCTTTAAACTGTCTTGTTAATTATAAATAGTTAAACATTTAGATGAAAAAAAAAAATTACAGATATTTTACCAAACTAGCTTATATGTCCATGTAAATCTACGAACTCTGAAGAAGTTACTGTTTAACCTAAATATTGAGAAGGCTGATAAGACGTACATATATATATATATATATATATATATATATATATATATATATATATATATATATATATATATATATATATATATATATATATATATATCTATATATATATAAATATATATATATATATATATATATATATATATATATATATATATATATATATATATATATATATATATATATATATATATAGATATATATATATATATATATATATATATATATATATATAGATATATATATATATATATATATATATATATATATATATATATATATATATATATATATATATATATATATATATATATATGTATATATATATTAGGTATATTTGTATAAACATTTGAAGAATCATTTGACAACATTTTTTTATAATTTTATTATTTATTATTTAAACTGTTAACAGTTATTATCTTAAATATATCGTAACCTAAAATCTTTTGCGTCTTTTTCGTAACTGGACATTCCGGAATGCTTTTTCCGTAAGGAACTATTTCGTAAGTATTCTTACGAAATGATTTGTTTCGCAAGTTTTCTTTCGCAATGCTTTATTACGGAACTTTATTTATTTATATTTTCGTATAGCGCGTTACGGAATTTGCATTTTTGCATGTGCAACTTCCGCAATAACAATTCTATTACGGTAGATAAAGATGCGAAATTTTCGCAAGTTTTGTTTTTCGGCGAACAACCCTAATTAAAACCAATAAATAAGAATAATAATCTAGGCTAATGCAATAATCGCTGGATATTCGCATAGAATTATATATTTATCAAGTTTGTTTGCTCCCAGAATGCAATGCGTTTTATAATGGCGTCTTTATCTGGCAAAAGGTCAATTCCGAAAATCTCCGGAAAAACATTATCCCTGGATCTATACGCATTTAATTGTTTTGTTTTAACTTTCTATTATGTAAAAAAAATTGTGTTTTTTATTAATGTTAACCCAGCTTAAAGGTGAGTTTCCACTCATCCGTTTTTCTACGGGAACGAGATAATCACTTGAGCATGCACAGTTTTACTTCGGACATATTAAAACTTATAATACGCATGCCCACGTAATTATTTCTCCCTTCCCTTTCCCGTGAAAAAACAGATGAGTGGAAACTCACCTTTACTCTAAAACAGTAAAACTTAGATTTTACATCTAGCACTTCCTCTCAAAATAAAACCGTCAAATTTTTTTTGGTCACAGAATGGGAATCAGTAGAGAGCATTTTTTTTTTGGGACACCCTAATGAGCACATTAAATATATTTAAAATATTAGGATTTACCTCGGGATAGAAGTCTCGCTACTTGGGTACTATTTGGGGCATTTTCGACCTTTGAGTACAACTTTTTTTTGTAATCTAATTTTTTAAATATAAAAAAAAATAAAATAAAAAAGACCTTAGATCCCCATTAGGGTGCCTGAAGACACCAATTTTTTTTAAAGATTTTTTGCAAGTTGATAATTTTCAGCAAAATGCAATTTTTTATTGATATTAAACGTTTAAAGAATATAACTTTTACTTTTTTAATCCTCCTACTGATTAAAAGTCTCCTGACTTTTTCGATTATAAGAACTAGGTTTATTAGAATTTATAACTATATTTACAAAACGATCATTTGCGAAAGTTAAAATTCGGACTTATAGTTATTTAATAAACGTATAGTTATTTAATAAACTTATTCTTTTATTAATTATTCGGACGTATAGTTATTTAATAAACTTATTCTTTTATTAAATAACTATACTATACTACTTAATATAGACATGCTATAGAATTCAATAGACTACTTGATAAAAAATTTATTTTGATTTTATATAACTTGTTAGCTAGGAAGGTGGGGGTGGGGGTTTATACAAACAACAAAACTTATGTGAGACGATTTTAACGATAACGTCTAAGAGATACAAGGTTGTGTTTTTTCCAGTTGGCTCGTCTAGAAGAACCAATAACCTTATTATAACCATGACCTTTACGCATACCACGATTCTTTTTGCCAGCAGCAGTAAGTCCACGAAGTTCTCTGTGTTTATGTACAGCTTTGCAAATCCAATTAATACGAGGATCACGTCTCACAGCCTTATGGGCAGGATCAACCATTATAACTTCGAAGTATTTATAAGTCGAGTCTTGAGCAATCCAATATGAATTTAATACTCTAAGACCACCACAATACCTTCCAGCACGCTCCTTAAGAAAAAAAAAATTTTTTTAAATACTTTTTAAGACTTCCACAATATTTTGCTAACAAGAATGTTTATTAAATTACCTCAGCAACAGATCGAATACTTCTTTGAAACTTTAGTTGGTTAACACCCTCACCCTTAGGTTTACCATATGTGATACCTTTAGCAACAGGCCTCTTTCTTCCACCACGACGAACCCTGACCCTGTATATAACAAAACCCTGCTTGGCTTTGTATCCAAGTCGACGTGCTTTGTCAGGTCGTGTTGGCCTGGAAGCTCTGTGAATAGCATTTAAATGCCGAAGCTGCCAGCAACGAATACGAAATAAAAATCGAAGCAAATCACTTTGTTTTTTTTTGTATAACTCTTCAAGATATTTGTAAGCCCCCATTGTGCCTAAATAAAAAGTTGATAATAGCAATATATTATTAGCTACAAAGTTAATAGACTTAATGTTAAATAAATAAAAAGAAACAATGCAATATTATAATTCCAGTAAAAAAAAAAAACATAATATAATACAAGCAGAAAAATTCGGTAACCAAAAAATTCAACATAAACAAAAATACCTGAATTTTATTAACTTAAAATAAAAATAAAGTAAATTAACAAACAACTACATAAGAAATACAAAATAAAAATAAAACTGAGATAAAATTTGTTCCTATCAGAATTTAATTCATCACAATAAGTTTCAGGAGAACAGAAATCATTTTATTCATCAAGTAGGAAAACAAGTTCAATAACATTTACAAATAACTTGTTATAAATATTGCTAGACTATATTAGTAACTTGTTGAAGCAATTTTTTTCCTATCAGATAAAAAAAACATCAAAATATGATTCAGGAGAACAAAAATCATTTTTATTCATCAAGTAGGAAAATATAAGAAGATAGTAGTGATGTTAAAAATAATGGTAACTAGTTAGCGCTATTACATAGCTAGACTGATATATTAACTTATCACAAGTAATAAGTTTAAAATTCAATGGTTGTAGGATTAAAACAAACAAATACTAAAAGACAATATATAACAAGAATATTAGCTAACTAACATAAATTATAAAAGCTAACATACAAAAAGTATAAAAGCTAAACAAATTAAATTAAAAAAAAAAAAATTATTAGAATTCTTTATTTTATTTGACAAAAAAAATAGTTGAAAAAAAGAAAAAGCAAAAAGTTTGAAGGTTATATCACAAATAATTAAATGTTTTGTAGCATCGTCTTAAGCAACTATTAATTACATGCCCAAGATAGCGGCAACAAAATTGTTTTTGCTAAGTTTGGAGATCTTAAGGTTATTAATAATAAACTTTAAAGATCATGAAATAGCATAACAAATAAAAACAATATACTAAATATAAAATATGTTTAACTCTTATGATTTGGTTGTTAGCATGTCTTTTAGACGAACTGATTAATTTAATGAAACTTAGTGTACTGGTTTTTAAAATTATGTATGAAAAACTAATTAAGCATAGATTTATAACTAACACATCAATCAGCTTATCTGAGTTATCTAAAATTATATTAATAGCTGAAGCAAACTTAATAAACAACCTAGCTGCATAAAAATTTTAATATACAAAAATTAAAGTCAAGATTTACTTAAATTTTTACCATGTTTTTTTAGTTTAAATCATACAATCAGTGTAATATCAATTAATTAATATCAATAAAAATAAAAAAAATCTAAAATCAATTGATTAATATAAACTTGTTATGTACTTTATAAGTTATAGATGATTCTTTTACTTTTTTTTATGTTGTAGAATTGTTATTAACTTGAAAATATATTGTAAAAATCAGTGCACTGATTGTATAATTTAATGCTAACAGTTCTTACTGCAGTAAAAAATAAACATTAAGTGTATGAAGGTAAAAAAATTTATCACAAATGTTTCATGTTTTGTGGCATTGTCTTAAGCAATTATTAAGCAAATGCTCAAGTCAGAGGCAACAAAGATTCTTTGTGCTGATTTTATATAACTCTCAAGATTAAATTATTTAAACTTAGAGATGACAACAGCAAAGGAAAATATCAAATATACAATTAAGTAATAGTGTTAAAATATGATTTAACAATGTAATATACTTAATATTCTTTTATTACTTTAATAAAACTAATAATTCGATGTTTATTATATACAATTGTATTTAGTTGTAGTGTTTTGTGGCATCGTCCCAAGCTACTAATATTAAATACTTGAGATAGCGGCAACAAAGTTTTTTATTTGCTGAGTAATAAACTCTTTTGGTTTAATTAACTAAACTAAAAGATCACATTAACAGCATTAAGTTGAGTAAATCATAAAACTTTGGTAGGATTTCAGAAAATAAGGCTTCAAAATAATGGTCCATTAAATAATTTATAGCGTATAAAATGCGCACAGTCTTATGCAAATACAAATTATAAAAGTGAATTTTAAACTTCACGGATCGTAAAGATAATCAAAGATTTTATATACCTTCACAGAGAAGCTGCTGTAACCCGGGTACTTTTTGTAAAGGTTTATAAAGATATAATTCGCTTATCCAAGAGTTTTGCAAGAACAATCGAGGCAAAATCAACTTAAGCCCGTATATTATGTTGGTTTTATAAATTTTACGGTACCGGTTAGTTTGTAGAATTTCATATAAACAGTTATAATTTATTGAACCATATCAAAATTCAGTATTAGTACGCTATGCATTTTTTCCATACTATTTTTTTGAATAAATGATTATTTTTTAATAATGATGCGCCTTCTAATAAAATATGCTTAGAGCTCGCTTCTAAAGCAAGCGCTCTAATCACTGCCCTACGGCCGCTTAACCATTGCGCCACGGTCGCACATCATTATTAAATATAATTATCAGAGATGCACGTCCAATAAAATTATGGGATCGTTGGTCTCTTTAAAAAATGGCGGGGAAATCAAGCTACCGTTGAGCCATATGAAAAAATGTGCACTTTTTTTTTTAACTCAGCAAACAACAAAAAGTAAAAAAAAATTAGTTTTACTAAAAAGACACGTCCTAAATAGCAATAAAATTATTAAAATTTAAAAGTTATTTAGGATATTTGCAATAAAAAGAAGTTTGGTGTTCTGTGTTGGCTCTGGCCAGATAATAATCATGTGTAGCAGGGTACCTTGTATTACGATATGTAATACAAGGTACCCTGGGTATATTGTATTACGATATGTAATACAAAACTGATTAAATTCGGCTCGACAAAAGGTTTCATACATAAAATTAATACGTCTAAGTCTATTTTTATTTATGGGTTTTAAAAGAAAGATCTTTGAAAATGGGCGACGATATGTCATTTTCCCACATATACATAAAGCATAAAACATTAAAAACAGTAAGCTCATTAATATTGAGAACTTTTACTTCAATAAAAAATGGTTACGAATGAGTGTATCGATCCGCAAAATTTATTAAACGGATCGCGTGTTAAAGACGGTTATAAAGGCATTTCAACGTACTTTTTTCAGTGTTTTTCCACGCAAAATTAGCATAATTTAAATAGCTATGAATTAATGAGTGATAAAGTTGAGTTAGACTTTTTATATAAATATGTTCTGGTTTTATATAAAGCTCCAATATTTTTAGAAAATTTTTTACCAATATAGCCGATATGCGTTTTCCATGTAATGTTTTCATCATGAAAAACACCTAAGAACTTTGTTACATTATGTCTTTCTATTTCAACATCATCAATAAAAATTTTACGCAAACTACGGGGTAAAAAAGCTATTTTTGCGACTGGGTGGAAAAGAACCCAATTTGTTTTTTAATGTTAAGTCTTAGTTTTGTTGTATTTTAATCATTTGGATATACTTTTAAGTTCATCATTCATAGTATAAAAGAGTTTGTAAATGTCATTATCGGAAAAGAATAAGTTAGTGTCATCAGCAAACATGATATTCATTGAATTCGAGGCTTTATTTAGGTCGTTTATATAAATCAAGAACAATAGTGGTCCCAAAATGGAAACTTGTAGAACGCCAAATGAAATATTTAGAAACTTATTTCGATGATCATTAATGCTGAAAACAAATTGTTTACGGTTGGATAGATAAATTTTGAACCATTTTATAACTTTGCAATTTATTCTATAATATTTTAGCTTGTGTAGTAGAATTTCACAATCGACAGCCTCGAATGCTTTCGAAAGGTCGATGAAAACACCTAATGTATATTTAGACTTTTCAAAAAAATTAGAGATTTCACGTACAAATCGGGATAACTGCATGTTTTGATGGAATTATTTCTTTTAAAGTCGAAGTGATAGATATATAAAATATTATTAGAATGGAGATAATTGAATGATCTATTGTACATAATGCGTTCTAGTATTTTTGAAAATGTTGATGAGTGGACGGACTGCATTATCACAAGATTTAAATAATTCTGCTAGTCGTTTGACTGAAGTTTGACTGAAATTAAAAGCCAATATAATACTGAAACAACTAATTTATTGATACAAAGAAAATTGGTACAGTTTAATTTGGATATCCAAAAGAAAATTATTACTTCACGATGACGCAGCGATAATGATGGCGCAGCGGAAAAAATTTAGTTGCATTTAGCCAACATGTTTAAGCCAGTCTTCCTTAACCACTTTTACATTTATTTGTAATTGATTGTTTTTATAAAAAGCATGACAATGATCACAATATTAGTGATTTTGTTAATAGGAAGATTTAACTTTATGAACAAATGAAGATTTAACTTTAAAGTTAAATGAAGATTTAATTTTAAAGCCCCCTCTACAGTTAAAGAATCTTTAACTGAAAAGGGTACGCCAAATATTGATGAAAATGGTTCTTATATTGAAGAAGACAAAAATGAAGTACTCAACTTTTTGGAGATTGTTAAGAACGAACGTGCAACCATAAAAATGTTTTTTTTTTTTAACTGATTAAAGAATTTTTATATTCAACCGACTTCAGATAAATTACTTTTTCACCGATTAACGGCAATTTTCATTTTCAACTAGAGTTTCTCAAACGGGATCCGTTTTCATCCGATTCGTTGGATAAAAGTGGCAGCGGGATTTCCCGGGATATCACTCTTATATCCCGGAATATAATTTTTTTCTAATTTTACATATGATAACTGTTTGAACTAATTCGAGCAAAAATAAAAATTTTTTTTTTGCATTTAGTTGTGTTTTATGTGTTCATACACTGTTAAAAATTCCCGTACTTTTACGGAATTATTTTCCGTTATTTGTGCGGAAACTACCCATTTAACAAAATTGAACGGAAATTTTCCTTCTTTTAAAATAAATTTTGAAATACGAAAATTTCCGTTGGATTTATTATGGAAGCTAAAGTAAAATTTTAACATACAAACTTGTCACATTAAAAAGCAATTTTAGATTTTTTAGCTAGGGCGTTTAATAAATATAACCAATTCTATTTATATATGTGTGTGTATGTATATATATATATATATATATATATATATATATATATATATATATATATATATATATATATATATATATATATATATATATGTAATTGTATATTTATAATGTTAAATGTATACTTAAATGGTGTTAAAAGTATACTTAAATGGTGTTATTATTTTATTACTATTTGTAAATATCCAATAAAATTTATCTTCTGAATATATATACGATTGAATGATTATCTGCACATTTCATAATGCTTTTGGACTTATTTAAGTGAAATGTAAATATATTTTTGTGAAAATTATATTTAGATAAAATTAGATACTCTGCTTTGGTCAGTTTTATGGTATTTCTTACTTCTAATTTTTTATTTTGTTTGTCAATATTTCATCTTTACATAAGCTGATTTTATTATATTTTATTACATATAAAATAAAAGCTTTTCTTTTGGAGAATGTTTTAATGTCAATGATGAGGATTCTTAAAGGTAAACTAATTTTTTTAATTTTAGATATGTTTTGATGATGTTTGATGTCTATATTCATATATATGTCTGTATTCATATATATGTCTGTATTCATATATATATATATATATATATATATATATATATATATATATATATATATATATATATATATACGCAGTGGCTACAGTACCGGCTGCTGGATCTTTAACTCTTGGTGCTAGAGTACCGACTGGTCTGGGCTCTAGCTAAATACTCTCTTCGCGTCCGAAAAATATTACCGTCGTTCATGTAATATATAAAGTGCACTATATAATTTACTATATATATACATAGTGTTATACTGAAAGTAACTTCAGTTTGAATTCACTTAAAAGTAAGGATACTATATATTAAATGAAAAACATTTTACTATTTATTTATTATAGATACAAGATGCTAAAGATTGTTTATTATAGATACACAGATGCTAATGAAAATATTCTTTGAATCTATTTAGACTCACAGAATATTTTCTTTAGCGGTTTGTTAGCTAACAAATAATATATAGACTATGGCAGTCAAATTGTTTTGCAATATTCATATAAATTTTTTGATAAATAATTATCAAATCAGTTTTTAAATTAGACGGCATTATCAGCCTTTTTAGAGACTAGAGACTCTAGGAATTTAAATAATGATTTAAATATGGAAAAGTTGAATATGATATTAGAACCTTTTTATATTTAAATCAAAATGTTTAAATATGAAATATCTTGCAACAATTTATCTATTTCATCAAAGCAAACTATGTTTGCTTATATGTCATTGTCTAACTTATATTCTAATGTCTGACAATGTCTTACTTATATGTCTGAGACATATAAGTATGGTATCAAATCAATAAAAAATCATTCAATTCATTCCTAGAATTCTCTACCTAGTGAAATTAAAAAATCTGCCAAACAAGTAAATATAAATATGTTTCTTAAATGAGTAAAAGAGTTATCATGAAAATGCAAGATAAAACTACAAAATAAGTATATGAGTATGGGTATTCGTGTAGAATGTATAATAATTGTATAAGTGTATCCATATGTCACATATGGATACACATCTATATGTGTATCCATATGTCATGGATATACATATACAATTGTTATACATATATATGTTCATGTATGCATATATGCATATATATAAAATATATTCATATATGCATACAAATTCATATAAACATACACACATATATGTGTGTATATTTATATGTATTTGCATCTTGGTATTTAAATAAAATTTATATATATATATATATATATATATGAATTTCATATAAATACTCAGATGCAAATTTATATAAATATACATGATATGTGTGTATGTTTATATGAATGTGTGCATATACATGTATATATATATATATATATATATATATATATATATATATATATATATATATATATATATATATATATATATATATATATATATAAATATATATATGTATATATATATATATGTATATATATATATATTTATATATATATATATATATATATATATATATATATATATTATATATATATATATATATATATATATATATATATATATATATATATATATATATATATATATATATATATATATATATATATATATATATATATATATATATATATATATATATATATATATGGGTGCGTGTATATAATGTATGTGTGTATTGTGTGTGTGTGACAGTTTATGTATGTGTGGCAGTATATGTGTGTATGTGCATGGGTATATATGTAGGTATGTGCGTATACAGTAAGTATGGGTATATATGCGTTAAATATAACAAGTACAAAAAATACTTAAAAAAAAAAAATAATGAAAAAAATAATTGAAAATAAAATTATGAAAAAAAGTAATTAAAAATATCATTGTTAGAAAAATCAAAAAATACCATAAGTTTAAATTTAATATATTAAATACTACATTAGTTAACACAAAACATCAATTAAAATATATATATATATATATATATATATATATATATATATATATATATATATGTATATATATGTATATATATATGCAGTTATTTAAAGTGGGAATATATTGATTGATTGATTTAATTACGTGTAATTGTAAAGAATTTTCTTTGGCTAATATTTATCATGGTTTGTTTGATGATTAGGTGTTGATTATTTCTAAATGCTCCTGCAAGACCTGGAGCTGACGCCAGTGCGTTTGATTTATTAGGATAATTTTAATTTTCTAAAAAAAATATAGTATAGTTTTCTCTGTTAAGTATTGCATAAATATTAATTTTTTACTTTTTTTAGTATGCCTACTGTTGAAACATGGTTTTAATTTAGTAATTTTCAAGAATTGAAATTTACTCTATTGATCATTAGCCAACAGCCAAAAATCGGATAGAACACCAAAATGGTAAGGAATAATTTAGCATTTTTTTTTTTTTTTATAAAACAAATATAAATAATCAGGATTTAAGAAAATTAATAAAAATAAAATATATCAGTGGTTAGTTAGTTTATCTAATTAAAGTTAATAGTTCTGCAAATTAGTATGGTAAATTTAACCCTTTTTTTTCCTAAGAAATTGTTTGAATGAAGTTTGTAGTTATAATCCTGTAAAGGAGTGACACCTTTTTTAAAAAAATTATATTACTAATAATAAACATATAGACATAAAACATACAAGACACACATAAAGTAAATTTTTTTAAATATATAGTTTGCATGGGATAATAAATGAGAAAAGAAAAATAAACAAACAAAAAAATAATAGTTATAGTAAAAGATAGAAGTTATAACAAAATATTTTTCAGAATTTTTTTAAACTGATTTTAAATAAGATAAATTTTTTATCTTATTTAAAATCAGTTTAAAAAAATTCTCAAAAGTATGGTAAAAATTTTTTTAAGCAAAATTTTTACCATACTTTTGAGTTTACCTAGATGGTACATTAAGCTTTCCATTATTTATTTTTGGTGTAGAGTGTGTATGTATTAGTCTACTTACTATAAAACAGTTTCTTATTTATTACATTTTTATTTAGAGAATTAAATACAAAAAAAAGATTAGCAAACTTTACTAGCGAATGAAACGTTGGAATTTTAAGTTTTTTGTAAGAATCTGATTTATAAGGTTGAAAGTTTATTATTCTAATTAGATTGGCATTGAGACGACAACAGTTTGTTAGTATGATTGTTTGTAGTTTGATCCCAAACTTGACAAAAATAACTAAGATGAGATGATAATAATGCATAGTTTTGAAATGATCTTAAACATAAGGAAATACTGTACAGGTAGGCAGACCAAAAAACTAAAGGATCCTAAAAGCTAAATGCTCAAATTAGAGCCTGTAACTTAGAGATTAATTAAGAAGAAAAAAAGTTTTTTATTTGTCAAATAAATCTTTCTAATTTGTATTTCTTTATGTATTAGCTTTTGGAGTCCCTTAACAAAAATAATATATATGGATCCATAACTAAACTTTAAAATGAAACTTGCTTTTTTCTATTAACAAACAAGTAATATGACTAGTTGTTTGTAAACCAATTTTTGCATGTGGCTAACCATAAAGGAAGTCATGCAATTAGGGTTGGGTTAGAGTAAAAAGAGACAAGGGAGAGGAGACAGTTTTGTCAGAAAAGGACATCACTTTATAGATTTTTTTTACAATTTTATTAACCGTGTCCATATATAATTTGATTTATTTTCATTTTTTGTTTGTGTGTTCTTATTATATAATATAAATTATATTTTAAATGAAAAGCATATGTAACAGGTATTAAGTAGTTTTGTTTTTATTTATTGTCAGTATTGTTAAACTCAACATCAGAAAACTATATTCCTTAAAATTAATTATTCATTTACAGGGTTCCACTTAAACTGGAAATCCTGAAATACCTGGAAAGCATGAATCCCAAGGAAAAACCAAGAAAACCGGGGAAATTTTTTTCTTTTTTCAATAATCAGGGAATACTCAGGGGTCATTCCATATAAGATTGTCATATTTCAAAAATATTTAAACAGAATATTAGAAATAAATTTTTAAACATTAAATCAACAGACACATTAGTACATCTAAAAAAAAATATCTTCACTTGGTCAATTATTTTTTATGCATGTGTAAGAG